TTTGTTTCTTCACATATTTCTAAAACATCTTCAGTTATGTTACTCCTGTTTTTTTTTTTTTTCCATTTATTTTTATTAGTTGGAGGCTAATTACTTTACATCATTACAGTAGTTTTTGTCATACATTGAAATGAATTAGCCATGGATTTACATGTATTCCCCATCCCGGTCCCCCCTCCCACCTCCCTCTCCACCCGATCCCTCTGGGTCTTCCCAGTGTACCAGGCCCGAGCACTTGTCTCATGCACCCAACCTGGGCTGGTGATCTGTTCCACCCTAGATAATATACATGTTTCAATGCTGTTCTCTTGAAACATCCCACCCTCGCCTTCTCCCAGAGTCCACAAGTCAGTTCTATACATCTGAGTCTCTTTTTCTGTTTTGCATATAGGGTTATCGTTGCCATCTTTCTAAATTCCATATATATGTGTTAGTATACTGTAATGGTCTTTATCTTTCTGGCTTACTTCGCTCTGTATAATGGGCTCCAGTTTCATCCATCTCATTAGAACTGATTCTGTTTTTATATAACTTCTATGATTTCCCAGATGGCTCAGTGATAAAGAATCTACCTGCCAATGCAGGAGCCGCAGGAGCCGCGGGTTCAATCCCTGGGTTGAGAAGAGCCTTTGAAGGAGGAAATGGCACTCCACTCCAGTATTCTTGCCTGGAGAATCCCATGGACAGAGAAGCCTGACAGGCCACAGTCCATTGGGTTGCAAAGAGTCAGACACGACTGAGAGCAACTGAGCATGCATGTGATTTTCCATACCTAGATAATACTGCCGAGCAGAAAAAGTTAAACAAGATGTGTTACTTGCCGCGGTAGCAAATCTCCAGGAACGGAGTCTTCCCAATGAACCAGGCCTCCTCCTCACAGTCCCCTCCCACACTGAATCTGGGCTGGCCCTATCACTCACGTTAACCAACAAAATGCCACAGGAGTAGTGCTGTGCCAGTTCCAAGTTTATGCCTTAAGAAATTCTGGACTTCTGCACGCTTGGAAGCCCTGAGCCGCCAAGTAAGAAACCTGACCCCTTTGCAGGAAAGACCACCTGGAGAGGACAGAGTCCTGAGACAACATGGAAAGAGAGAGAGAGAGAAAATCCTAGACATCCCAGGGTCCCACCTGAGCCCAGCTTTTCAGGTGGCCCTGCCAAGGCAGCAGAAATATGAATGAGGTCATCTTGGACATTTCAGCCCCAGGTGCCATGAAACTAAAGCTACAAGAATGTCTCCAAAGGGGACTAGAAAAACCATCCATCTGAGAATCAACCCAAAGAATTGAGCGCTTTTTTTAAAAAAAAGAAAGCAACAGATAATTGAAATACTTGCTCTCAAAAAGCTAACTATATAATGTGGGGAAACATTCCAGGAAACAAGAAGGACCATCAGAGGTCAATGTTATGAAAGGAATATACACACCATGCTAGATGAATACAGAAGAGAATCATCTAAATTAAATGGGCACAGTGTGTGAAGGGGTGTATAAGGGGTGCAGCTGGGGAAGTTTTCTAGAGCAGCTGATACAGGCTGAGTTTTAAGAGAGCGCAGGATACTACATGCAGCAGTTGGGTACAAACCAGTGTGGTGGTCTGTGCTATGTGCTCAGTTGCTCAGCCATGTCCCACTCTTGGCGACCCCATGGACTGCAGCCCGCCAGGCTCCTCTGTCCAAGGGATTCTCCAGGCAAGAATACTGGAGTGGGTTCCCTTTCTCTTCTCCAATGGTGGTTTGGGGGAGTGCTAAAAAGTATATCAGGTTTCCCTAGTGGCTCAGTGGCAAAGAATCCGCCTGCCAATGCAGGAGACACGGGATGGATCCCTGGGTCAGGAAGATCCCCTGGAAAAGGAGGAAAATGGCAACCCCCTCCAGTATTCCTGCCTGGGAAATCCCTCAGACAGAGGAACTAGCAGGCTACAGTCCATGGGGTCACAAAAGACACAAGACTGAGCAACTAAGCCACCACCACCAAAAGATAAGCTGGGGGCATAAACAGGAACTAGATAATTAAGGGCTTCTTACACTAAATACAGAGCTTAAACTTTATCCTAGGAATTATGAAGGATTTTAAGCAGGGAAATGACATTTCCAGATCCATACCTTAGAAAGATTTCTATGGTAGCTGTGTACTAGACAGACGAGAATGGAGGCAAAGAAAGGTCAGTAGCCTGCTTCAGATCTAGAAGAAGGGATAGAAACCTAAAGTAAGAGTGGCAGAGCGAATGGAGAGGGATCCCTAATGTTCAGAATCTACAGGACATGGTAAAGCACATGTGGTGGAGAGGGGCTAAGAGAGAGGAATGACTCATTTCTCCCGCTGAGGCCTTGGAAGAGGATGTAGTGCCACTTACGGAAAATTGGGAGAAACAAGAGGCAACAGGATTCACACACAAGTAGGAAGTTTAGACTCAGATACAAGAACAGGAAGAAAGTATGGATGCGTCTGCTGATAGGAAACAGAAGGAAGCTTTACTCAGTGGCCCCTATTTTTTCAGTGAAATAAAAGACAAGCTCACATGCTAAAACTAATGAGAGAAATGGTGGAAATGGAAAGTTTAGAAAGAGAAGTAATAGACAGGGACAGCCCTCAGAGGAAGAGGGAGCCCTGAGGATCTATCTGGGTGTCTAAAAGTCAAACTCATTCTGGCCTCAAGATGCACAGTGGTAAGATTTCCTCCAGCAAACTCAGTGGCCCAACTATAAGAAAAGAGATGTCAGGTGGCTAACTTGGGCCAAGACTGGAGTACTATGAAAAAAATTAAAAGAAAGGAACAAGTTTCAGCAGAATTGATGGCAATGGTAAAAAAGTAATTCCAGTAATGGACTTTGAGTCTCAGTGGGCTAGGGAAAGAATCGCTTCCAGGGAGCTGGAGGACTAGTGGAAAATGTAATGAGGTCAACAAACAAGAAAAAGGATCTGATGTGGTCAAAGTGTACATTTACTGGGAATAAGACAGAAAGCTGGAAGGACTGAAGGCTGTGGTCAAAATATAGGATGGTACAACAGTCTGGCTCACTGCTTTGCACCTAAGAAATACTCACAGAACTTACTGACGGCCAGACAGGCTATTAGGACTTCAAAGCCTATCAGTTAAACAAACTAGCATTTGGTAAGGAATTTCCAAAAGGAATCCTCATGCACACTGTCAATTCAATATAGTATAAACTCTTATATTACATCCAAAGTAATGCTTCCAACATTAACTCCCCTGATCTGCTATTTACCTATCACAAGCTCGTCAGGCAAGCTCAAAGCATTTAAAAAAAAAAAAAAAGGATCTTGCTTGATACTGCAATTTTTCTGCTACTTGTCCCAAGCTACCTCTGAATCAACTGACGTCTTTTTTTTTTTTTTGACGTTGTCTTTTAAAATGTAAGCTCACCATCTTTATTCAAGAAGAGCCCTATTTGCTGTTATTCTTGATGAGTCACTATTCAAGGCAGGGAGCTTGAAAAGAAATTTGGAGCTAGAAAAGAACTAGCTTGGCAGCCACACCTTTCTAATATACCAGCAATAATCTCGAAGCTGGGGTCTAGACAGGGTCCCCTCAAAAGCAAGGCAACGTCATTGTAAAGCAGTCAGGTGTCAAGGAGAACAGAAATCAAATTTATGACCAAACTGAATATTTGGTCCTTTACTTTTCTGTCAACTCATGGTGTCTTTGTTAAAATTTTTTAATTATATTTATAAAACAGTGACTACCTTCAAATAGTACAAAGCACTTAGCAGATTTCTATTAAGTAAACTCATCTTTATATAATATCAATGAGAAACTATCTTAATTTCCTATCCAGTAATTCAAATTCTTCAGTCTATCAGGGAAAAATCTCAAACTCCTTAACAAAGTATATAAGCCTTTGTGATCTGACTTCTGACTTCTCTACTAGCCTCATTCCTGTATACTTAATCTCAGTTGTTATTCTCTCTCCTCTGTAGGTCCCCTGCCTGCAATGTCTTTTTCCTTACTCACTGCCTGGCTAATTCCTCCCTATATCTACCCTGCAGCTTTTTCTTTGAAAATTTCAAACCAAAAAAATAAATAATAAAAAAAAAAGAAAAATTCAAACCAACATAAAAGTTAATAGAAGAGTACAATAAACATATCTCCTAAAAATAAATAAATATATGTCCTTCATCTGGATCCACCAGCTGTTATACTTTTTGCCACGTTTACTTTACCTCTCTCTCTGAACTATCTGAAAGTTACAGACATTATGACACTTAACCACTAAAACTTCAGCAAGTATCTCTTATACTTCTATGTAATCACATACCATAATCATCCAAAATATTTACCACTGATACAGTATTACCTAATATGTAGTTCAAACTCAAATTTCCCCAGATATTCTAAAATGTTCTTTCATAGTTACCATCTCTCATACTTGAAAAATGATTTGGCAAATGAACCTGCTACTTTCCACTTAGCTCTCTGACAAATTAGCAAGCTAAGAATTTCTTGATAAATAAAAACTCATTTCAGCTATTTTGATTTCCAAACAGGTCACAAGAAGAAACCTGGAAATTTGAAACTATGCCTGAATTTTATGTCCACCTTAGTCCTGCTGCAGTACCCTGAAAAGGACACAGATTCATTAAATGGCTTTCCAAACCGCTTACAAGGCTACTTTTGAAATTTGCTTTTGGTGTTGAACAAAAATATAATCAAAGTAGTCTCATCATCTAAACTGTAAAATATCAGATAAAGCAAGTGAAACAGGTGCTAGATATATACCAAAATCTTGATCATACCTGGGACCAAGCAATTCACTACTATCATTCCAATGCATTAATGAATTCCTGAGACACTTTTTGCTAAATTTAACACAGGGTGCTGAAAAAGCTAAAATTACTAGAGGATATTAATTTGTGCACTTGTTTTTCAAATAAAAATTAAGACGGAAAGAAAAGGAACTAGAAACACAAACAGAACCGGCCTCTTATATACAAACACACATATTCACACAGCGTTTTTATTCTTAACAGTATCATTTACCTTCTGCCCTTCTCACAAAGCTTCTCAATTTCAGCTTTTAGATCCTGCTCCTTCTGCAGAAATTCCTTCTTTTCTTTCTCTATTTTCTTCTTCGTTTCTTCTCGCTTTATTGTTACGTCTTGGATAGCCTTTAATATCTCCTGAGTCCCACACAATTATAGTCACACACAAAGAAGGAAATGAATTAATTCTTTTGGTCTGAAGGTTACTTTCAACTATCACAAATTAACACTGACTTTAGTGAATTTAGAGTGAACTGAAGGAATCTAGTTCATGAGTAGTCCCAAAAGCCAGTACTTAGATATAAGGGAGTAAATAATAATGCAGATATCAATTCAACAGAAGAAAGAATTTCTAAGAATCACAACTGTTCAAAAATGGAATTTGCTGCCTTGTGAAGCAATAATCTCTCTATTACTGGTGCTCAAATAAAGGCTGAATGAACACCTATCAAGACTGCTGAGAAAGGCATTCTTGTACAGGGTGGGAGTTTGTTACTTCCAACAAATATGGTCTTGCTTTGTTTTGTTATGGTTCTACTTTATTATGTGTAGGGATTAACTGTTCTTTTTAAATTATCTGACTATATGTATAATAAGTCAAAAATTAAAAAGTGATAAATTTAAGTCATCTCTTATTCAGTCGCTCAGTTGTGTCCAACTCTTTGAGACCCCAGGGACTGCAGCACGCCAGGCTTCCCTGTCCTTCACCATCTCCCAGAGCTTGCTCAAACTCATGTCCATTCAATCGGTGATGCCATTCAACTATCTTGTCGCCTGTCATCCCTTTCTCCTCCTGTCTTCAATCTTCCCCAGCATCAAGGTCTTTTCTAGTGATCAGTTGTTTGTACCAGGTGGCCAAAGTCATCTCTAATTCACATCAATTCCACCCATAAAGTAATCAATGTGTTAAAGTGTTTTGTACTATGCTTTCGCAACTTTCTCCATCCTCACACCAACATGTGTACTTACATATGTATTTCTTTGCTTTTCTGTTTTTTTATAATGAGGTAATTTTATATACATTATTCTGCATCTTGCTTTGTTCTCCTGACATGAGCATACTTGCAGCAAGTATACACCAAACTAAAAAACAGCTGCATAACACGACATGACAGATGTATTTAGCCAATTGAGCCACTCTGTTAAAAGCGTCCATCAGGTTTATCCCAGTTTTCTTGTACTACAATAAACATTCTATGTCTATACTTTCATACAAAAACCTTTTATTTCTGTTGAGTAGACTTCTAATAATGAGGAGTCTAGGTCAAGATGTATATACATTTTAAAATATAACTAACAATTCCCAGTTCTTTTCTTAAAAAAAAATTGTTAACAATTCACATTCCTACCAATGTCTAAGAAGAGTTCATTTTCTCTTACCCTTGACAGCTTATTTTGTTTTGCCCAATCTCATGGGAAAGAGGGAGGAAAGGTATCTAGTAATTTTAATGAGCATTTTACCACCTCCTATTCTTTTACTGTTTTCATTGTCTGTCTCCTCCAACTAGAATAAACATCCAATGAAGACAAAGACTATGTTTTGTTTACCACTAAATCTTCAGGGACTAGATGAGGAACTCAAAAAATATTTGTTGTATGAATGAATCAACACTAGTAAGGCTGAGTTTATTTTCATATATTTATTCCCCATTTGCTTTTCCTCTTCTGTGAATTACTGTTTATAATTGTCAGCAAAATAATAGCCCCTGCCTCACAAAAATGTCTATGTTCTACCCCTTGGAACCTCTGTTACCTTCCTTAACAAAAAGATAGAGAATCCTGGATTACCTGGGTGGGTCCAATCTAATCACAAATAGTTCTTTAAAACAGAGAAACTTCCCCTGTCCTGAGCAAAGGAAGATGTGATTAGGGAAGAATGGTTACAGAAATGCAACATGGCTGACTTTGAAGAGGGAGAAGGGGTCACAGGTCAAGGAATGCAAGCAGCCTCTAGAAGCCAGGAAGGCAAGGGAATGTCTTCTCCCTTGAAGTCCCCAGAAAGGAAGGCCGCCATTCCAATACCTTGATTTTAGCCCAGTGACACCCATGTCCGGCTTCTGACCTACAGAACTGATACAATAAACGTGTTGTTTTAAGCTCTAAATTCAGGACAATCTGCTACAGTAGCAATAGGAAACTATTACAATAGAAAAGTAATACAATAAGCTTTCCTGGTGTTTCTTTAGACTATTTGGCTTTTACTACGAATTTGTAGGAATCTCAGAGTGTCTCGGATCTTAAATCCTTCATCAGATCTGCTAGAAATATTTTCTCTCAATCTAATATTGATCTTTTGACTGTTTTCTGTATCATTTACCATATCAAAAATTTTAATTATATATAATTAAATTAATTTAAAAAATCTTCTGGGTTTTCTGCCTGGATTAAGAGGACTTCTTGCAACTTAAGGTACATACATATTCTCCTAAATTTTTCTTTATCTTAAAATTTTTTTCCAGTTTTCAATGTATATTTTTAATCCACTTAGAACTGTATTTTTAAATACACTATGAGATAAAAATCTAATCAAATGACTTTCCAGGTAGGCAACCAATTACATCAACAAAATACATTAAATATATTCTGAATTAAAATAGAAGTGAGAATTTGGACAAGATGCCCTCAAAGTTCTTGTTTACACTTAAAATTCTATGATAACGATTAAAAAGTTACTTGCAGATTGCCTTTGGGGGATGTGATTTGTGATGCTCATGTCCACAGCTCACCTGTGCAATGAAATTTGTTTACTCCACCTTTTGTTCCTAGGGACTGTTTTAATTTTTAATTCAAATACGTTGTTATCCTTTAGTCAAAGGACATGTGAGTATGTTTTAGGTCATTTTAACCTAGCCTCGCTAGGGCTTCCCTGGTGGCTCAGATGGTAAAGAATTTGCCTGCAGTGCAAGAGACCTGGGTTCGCTCCCTTGGTTGGGAAAATCCCCTGGAGAAGGAAAGGAATGGCAACCTACTCCAGTACTCTTCCCCATAGAATTCCAAGGACAGAGGAGCCTGGCCGGGATAGTACATGGGGTAGCAGAGTCAGACAAGACTGAACGACTTAACACACACACACACACTGCCTTTTTATTTCTATTAATTTGAAAACAAGGTTAAAGTCTAATTAGGGACTATAGCTTTACTTGTTGCCAATTTTAATATAAGCAGGATACCTGGTGATTCTTCATTTCTTCTTCTCTCCTTTGCTGTAGTTGCTTTAATTGCACTTGGAGCTGATTCTCCACTTGCCTCTGCTTGTCCAAGACCTCCTGGTAACGCTCCTTCAACAGGGTTCTCTCTGTCATCATTTTATCCTATGGGTAACAACAGAAAAGGAGTTGAATTCATCAATTTAGCTGCAAGAAACATTCACCATAGGCTTGTTCAAGGCATCATGCAGAGCTCTTAAGCTGCAGGATACAATACTGGAGCTACTAGCCATGCTGTCTGTTATGTAAATTTAAAGTAATTAGAATAAGAAAATGTAAACAGCCGGCTCTTCAGTCACCTTGCCACACTCCTAGTGCTTGGTAGCTTTGTGTGAGTAGTGGCTACTATGCTAGACTGCACACATAAAGAACACTTCCATCGTGAAAGGAAATTCTGCTGTACAACATTGCCCTAAGATGTGGGTGGCAACCATGGCCTATGGGCCAAATCCAGCCATCGTCTGATTTTATAAGTAAATGTTTTCCAGGAACGTCGCCATACCCAACGGTTTACTGGCTGCTTTCACACTACAACAGCAGAGGGGAGCAGTTACAAAAGAGCCCAGCTCACCTAGAAAGCCTAAGATCTCTACTAACTGATTCTTACATAAACTATTCCTCTGCTCTAGGAAATAAGAGAAATAAGGTATTTTATCATCTATTAAGAAGAAGAATGAGCAAAAACAAAGAACTCAAAATGCATCCAGAAACTGGATTCCTTACTGGTCAATAGCACTAAAAACTGACAAAAACCCACCAGTGCTCTGGGGGACTTGTGATTCAGACTGGACAAATTGGCAAGTTCTTACATAAAGTAGGAGCAGGAGTAAAGCTTTTATGGGCCACAGTTCAGCTCTGCCTTCCTGACATTAGTAAATCAAGAAAAGTAATGGTTAGCTTTCAAAGGGACACGAAAACTTACAGGGTCCATTTAAAACACATTTGGTACAAGATAGCCCATGTAAAACTTAAACAGAGCATTAAACTGAATTCATTCACTAGATGATAACTATTTTCAAAGAAAAGAAAGGTTTTAGAAGTGAATGGGGGAAAACTTATCACCCTATGACCAAAAAAAAAAAAAAAACAGAAGTTCTCAAGATGGGACTTTAGCTTTGGGATAAGCTAGTCCTTAGTCCAGATACTGAAATGTGACTAAGGCTCCCTAAACAGATGACTCCTTAGCATCATAACTTTAAAGGTTTTCTGAATCTAAGATCTATGCATAGGTGTGTACAAAATTTTTTGAGGAGAATTCAGTTTTCAAAAGATTCTGAAAGATCTTAACCCAAGAAAAGTTAAAAAAAAAAAAAAGTTAAGAACCAACTGATGAAACTAGTAAATAAGAGCATTCTTTTCTTCTCTCTTTATTTTCTTACGGAAACTTTTTTGTCCATAATGCATCTTTATATATAACACAGGATGCAGAAAAAAAAAAAACTCAAGTCTTCACAGAAGGAAGTTTCAAGGACACACCATTAGTACAGGCAAATTGATGACTCAGAGGTGTATAGGAAATTACTTGATCCACTTCTTCTCCAAGCCAAAGGGTTACACACTGCTACTTTGTTTCACTGGTGGCTAATTGGTTCTGAGAGCCCAGAGGCCCAATTTGAAATGCAGGCAGTGGGCAATTATTGTAAGTGCATGAAAAGGGTAGCAAATAAAACAACAGCAAAGTTCCCTGCACTGCCATCCAGCTACATACCTGACTAGTTCCACTGCCTTTCTTAAAGCATGTGGCCCACATCACCACCTATAAAAACATAGCCAAAGAGACCACAACCCTGGGCCTCCTTCAGTCCAGTGGCTTGCCAGTCTCTACCCATTTCAGACTGATGCTAAAGCTTATCTGCAACTTCTTAAGTTGGCCTCTTCAACTGCTATATAGTCATCCCAACTCCACCTTACAACTGTGGGGACCAAATAAATACTACGTGTAAAGTGTCTAGAGTAAGTGCTCAAGAAAAGACAACTTCTCCTCCTCCCCTTGGAGGTTCTTGTCTAGCCTCGTTCTCAGCTTGCACATGGCCATCAGGTCTCTCATCTCTGGTATCTTTTTACTTGCCTGTTATAAATAACTCCTGAGTTGCTACTCTCTATTTAAAAGTTTTTATTGGCTTCATGTGGTTAACACACTCCAATAACTGACTTCTTTCTGCCCCTCAATTTCTTTGACTTGTGCCAAATATCTACTTTATTTCCTCTTATATACTTTTCCTCAACAGTACCTACTGTTCTAAAAAATTCAAAAACAAACAACAACAAAATATTAACTGGTTTTCCTCCTTATTTCCACTCAACTATCATATCTTATCCTAAAGACCTCTTCCTGAACCAAGGGTGCCTTTCTGCACATTATCCTTCCTCTTAAAAATAAATGCTCAGATATTCACACACATACAAGGTAGAAGTTTTTGCCACAAAATGCCAGGGACAGATCAAGGGGACCACTTTAACAAAAATAAATGTGAAGCTCTCTAAGTTTTAAAAACCAATTACCTAGTAGTAAAATAGGAAGACACAACTAAACAATACATGAGAAAAAGACATGATGGAGTTTGAGTGAAAGCTCAACAGTGTGACGAGACGGCCAAAACAAGCTGCTGTCAGCTTAAGAAATGGTGTCTAGAATGAGAGAGAGAACAAGGGTCCCATTGTATTGTGAAGTAATTATACTGTATGTGCATTACTATGTTTAGCTCTTAAGATCACATTTTAAAAGAAACATTGAGAAGATGAAACCTCTCGAGGTGGAAAAGAAGTCAGGATGATGAAAAACTGAAAAATACACGAAGAAGAATGTTAAAAACATCTGGGGACATTTCACCTGGAAAGGTTCAGACCTGAGAGGTAAGAGCAAAAGGCACTAAAAAAAAAACCACCACTTTGACTATATTGGGGGCTAACAAGTAAAACGTTTTAGATATACTCTATGTAGCTCAGGAGAGAACTATAACAAGAAGCTTTAGTGGTTCTGTTCTCACCCCATAATAAGATCTAACAGTAAGATCTATTTTCTAAATGCGGTATGTTGCTTTGTGAGTAGTAAGCATCCCATCTCTGGAAGTAATCAAGCAGAAGTTAGCTGACCATCTCTCAGGAATTTTATAAAGGAGATTCCTGCACCTTTTCCAATTGGGATGATGTGACTCTAGATCTTCCGCATTAACAGTTTCATAGACCAGTAACGACAGTTTAACTACTCACCAGATTCTTTTCAATATCTTGATCTGTGTTTACCTCTGAATCAGTTGTCTTAAAGTCAGTCTATAAAGAAAGAAACAATTATATTCAGAACTGTTCAGAGACATTTTAAAAGGCAGAATTATATAGTCCTTTCACTGAGAAATCTGTCACAAGTAACTGAGAAATTAACTTTTTGTTCTTTCAGCTTCACAGAAAAAGAACTGTAGTTCTGGCAAATGCCCTCTGACATCCAGGCTGCATTAAGCACTTATCCCACAAAATAACCTGAATGAGACCCAACAACTGATGGAGAGACAACCCCAAGGCTGAAACAGGAATTTTGGCCCCCTACAACTTATTCTGCCCATTCTTCTTTCTACGACAAAGCATATTAGTCACTAGAAGGCAGGAGACACTGTACTTCTTAAGATGTAGGTCAGAGAATTAACAAGGATTCCTCCTGCAAGTGCGAATATGGGAAATATGAATGCTAATGACCTACGCTCATCAATTACTCGGTGCAAGCAATTGTATGTAGGTCATGAAGTTCCTAGTTGCCATGATTAGACACTGGCTGTTACTTGTGGAACACCAGTAACACCAGAATGCAGTTATCACAGAGCACCGTATGAGAGTGGTATGAGAGTTGCCAGTAAAAAAAGAGAGACAGAGCCGTTCTCCACCAACTATGAAGTTATCTCCTGCCCTCCAAAAAAAAAAAAAAAAATTAAATTAAAAGCCCAAATTCCATGTTAGTAGTAGAAACTTGATACTTGACCTGGACAGCAATGTTCTGAGAAAGCTTCAGGGAAGAGCTATCCTGATCATCATCCTGATCCACTCTGACTCCTTCAACCCCATTTGCTGGAGGCACCACAGGTGGGAACTCCAAGCCTGGGTCCCTGCTCCCTTCCTTTAGGATGGAGGCTTGTGGGGCCTTCTCTTCAGGACAATTCCCGGAGGCAAGCTGCTTTGTATGGCACCCTGCCTTAAGAGACCGAGTGGCGGGGTGGAGGCTCTCCTGAAGGCACGTGTCCCCCTCCTCTCCTGCCGTGCTGGCCACGTCCTTCAGATCAGACTGGGACCCACCGCCAGACAGACCAAGGGCCGTGGCTATCAAGTTTTCTCCTAAAACCGCCCGGTGCGCTGCTGAAGTGTCACCTGCTGATGAGCCAGGATTCTGCTCTGGGTGTTCCAAATGGGCATTTCTGTTATTCTCCTTGGTTATCGTTTGGTTACTTACACTCGACAGAGGCGAGTTCTTATGCTTCTGTGCAGGGTCTTTGGGGCTATGAAAACAGAAGATAAAAAGTTTCTCTCCATCCAATCTTAAGGAGGGTCAAACATATAATACTTCCAATACAACCACTAGAAGAACAAGACTGACTATATAAGCCCCTCCAAATTATCAGGATGAAAAGGAACTTAGGTTCCATTCAGTAATTTTGATCACACACACAAAGAATATAGCACGGTGGTGAAGAATCTGGGTTCTGGAGACAGTCCACAATAAAGAATCACACATGAATGACTCTGGGGACCCAGAAATTGGGGGGTGTCAAATTTAATAATTTGGGGGAATGCAGATGAAATAGCCTATTGTTAAGACTATTTCACTTAGGTCCATGTACTATTTTTGTTACACATAATATTTTTAATAAATATTAATTTGGAAACTGTTTTTATTCCACTCTTGTTTCACAAAATAATTCACACTCAAATTCCCTAGACAGATCTTTGACCAGAACCACTTTTTAGGTCCTTCAACAGCTTTCTAGAGCATAACATCACTACCTCATGTTGCCTGAAGTACAGACAATTTTGAATCCAAAATTGAAGCTGTCAGTAGAAATTTTATCCCAGATGACACATGTATAACACTGGAAAAACTGTTTTATCATTTGCCACAACCATTAACATACTGCTTTTAAGAGAAATCTTCAAAACCTATTTATAAGGACATCCAACATTCACAACTCTTTCACCCAATAATAATGACTAGACCTGTGTCAAATTCCTTTGCCATTAAAAAAATTAAAACGGATTCTCTCCACCAATACCCTTAAGGACTCCAAACCAGCACTGACTGAGGCTTTAGGTCATTATGCCTTTCTTTCCTCAAGTACCTACTTTTCTAGAAAATTCAAAAACAAACAAATAACAAGAACAAAATAGTACCTACTGTTCAAAATAAAACAACAGGGAGCATCTTGTGACATGAAAATCTTTATAAATGCTCTTTGCTGACTCCTTGCTGGGATCAAGTGGGGTACGGGGACACAAATTATAAATTTGGACAGACACAGTACCTAAATGTGAATCCTGGAAATGGAAACCCACTCCAGTATTCTTGCCTGGAGAATCCCATGGATGGAGAAACCTGGTAGGCTACAGTCCACGGGGTCGCAAAGAGTCGGACACGACTGAGCGACTTCACTCACTTCACTAACTCTGGGCAAGTTATTTAACTCCATTTGTAAAACAGAAATAATATTACCTACCTAATAGGTTTACTGTGAGGATTACATGAAATAAAGCATCTGAAGTATTTAGTTCTGGCATACAGTAAACACTCAATAAACCTTGGCTACTATTATTATTACTAGTAGTATGTGCCTGTTTTGGGGGGGTTTTAAGCTGCACCATGGAGCATGTGGGACCAGGTATTGAAACCATGCCCCCTGTATTGGAAGGGCAGAGTCTTATTAACCCCTGGACCACCAGGGAAGTGCACTATTTATAAATGAAGATGCAAGTTTATGGTGAGGTTTTACTTAACTCCTGTCCCCATTACAATAACAAACCTCTCTTCTTCATTTAAACAGATATTTATTAAGTACACTGGAATCAGACAAGCCTGAGTTTAAATCCTGACTCCAACACAGCATGGTAACCTTGGGCAATTTACTAACCTCTCTGTCTTAGTTTCCTCACCTGTTAATGGGAATAACAGTATTAGCACCTACCTCCTGGGACTGTTAGGAGCTGCTAGGACACTGTTATCTATTGCAATAGGTCCTACATACTCTACAAAAGTGTTGAGGTAGCCAACCTAGTACAACATTATACATAACAATGGTTTAATCACTATAAAATGCAAGGCTGGGTAATCATAATTCCAGTCCTCAAGAGTTTAGATGGAAGGCAAACTACACAAGTAGTAAGTCATACTAACAAAGCTATCTATTTATCTGTAGATACAGATATAGATCCATGTACATATACAAAGCATACATATATACTAAGTGTGTATATATACACACAGGTACAATATATAAACATATAGTTAAATAAACAGTCCATGTAGGAGAAGTTGGGAAATATTTGCATTTTCAAATAGTTTGACCAGCTGTATTCTAATCTATTTTCTCAACAAACAATTAGCATGCCTGCTGAGTGTTGGATACTGTGTGGGGTACCAAATATACAAATATAAATCAGGCAGTCCCTACCTTTAAAAAAGTTTCATCTAGGGCAATGCCACTAGAGCCAAAAAGGAGAAAGACCTTCTGTAAGAAGCCCATCTCCAAAGCCCTTCACCCAAACGAAATCTACCCAGTCAGGAGTCCACACATTACCTTAGACCATCTGGGGGACCTTCATCTGTTTTGGAAGCACAAACACTAGAAGAGGATTCCGCAGGATTCGGAGCAGTGGCCACCACGCCAGCTACCTCAGATGCTGCCATCATGCTCTGCACATTCAGAAACAAATTACAGCTACAAGTTCCAGGATCTCACAACAAAAGTATCTTTCCCCATCAGAATGTCCATACAGCAGAATCATATCAGGAAAGAAACACAAAGAAAAAGCTGGGCTCCAAGAGAAAATATTTAAGAGTATTCTTCAGTAGGATATAAAAAGAGCCATGACACACAATAGGTCCCAAGAGACATCAATCCTCAAACATCATTATATATATCATTACATATATTACACACATATGTATGTGTGTGTGAACAACACTATATATGCCTGTGCAAAGCTTTTTCAGTTTAGGAGAAATGCAGTCTCACAGAATGTGAGAATCCTCCAAATGATCCACATACCTACCTTGCCTAATACATTTACAAAAGATGTGACTTGGGGCCTAATATCAACGGTATCGTTTGTTTTAAAATCATTTTATGCCTGTCATATTAAAAGCATTCTCCATTAATATAAGTAAAGTTTTCTGGAAGTATTCTTGTGGGAGAGAAAAAATAGCATTTAATTGGGCAATCCAAGTATCTTTTACTCTGTGTTCCCCAAAGATGGGAAAAGTTTGACAACCACTGACTGTGGAAAGTACACTCTTCAGTTACTGGAGGTGCAAAAGAGTAGGAGAATCTCAGTTACTCCAGCATGAAAATGAGAAGCTGAAAAACAGTAATCTAAGTAAGGGAAGTGGGACACAGGCCTTTTTTAGATCAAAAGGTCATCCTTTATGTTGCAGGACAAATTCATGGCCTTCTATGGTGAAAAGATAAAAAAGAATATGGGAGGAGGGAGGTGTAACATAAGGCTAGCTTAAATTCTCGTTTTTATTTTAATAGCATCCCAGGTACATCCCTGACCCGCGAAGAAAGCATAGGGCAGGCACGGAGGCTGGCCTGTGTCAACACTTAAGTCCCAGGCTATCTTCCCCCTGTGCCTCAGTTTTCCCCATCATACAAGGCTCCCAGGAGAAAAACGGGCCCCAGATCGCCATTACTGTTCGCACAGGTGCAAAACGTCCTGCCCCATCGGAGCCCGGGCCGGGGCTTCCCGGCGCCTGGTCAACAAAACCACAGGTCACGGGTCCTACGTGCAACTCGGTGGCTGAGAGCCGCAGAGGGGAAGGGGACGGGGACATCTGGCAGGAGGCTGCGGCCGGAGCGGGGGGCGTTAGGTCGAAGAGACCAAGGGGAGCCTCGCATCGCAACCCGGCGGCGACCAGACGGCGACGCCGAGAGCGACGGGTCACTGGGGGAGATCCGGGGACGGTCGCGAAAGGGACAATGGGGAGAAGCGACGCCGAGTGGTCCCGGCCGCCCTCCACAGGGGGGCTAGCCCCGCCGGCCGCAGCCCCCTTCGCACCGTGTCCTCGGCCCCCCGGTCAGGCTGCCAACCCCCCGTCCCACTTCTAGGCCGGGACCCCCGTGCCCGTCCCCGCAACTCCCTCCACGCGCCCCCCCACCCGCAACCTCAGGGGTCGAGCGCCGGCCCGCGCGCGCGACACCTCCCACTTCCGGCGGCACGAGCGGCGGGGGGCAAGCCTCGGGCCCGGAGAGGAGAGGCCGCGGTGGCACCCGCGCCGCCCCCGATGGCGCCCTCTGGCGGCCGGAGCCGGCTCGGTCTGGGCCGGGGGTGGGGAGCGGGGTTGTGGGGGGCGAAGCGGACTTGGCGGAAACCGCCCTCCGCGCTAAGATGCTAGTAGATTCCGCCTGGGCGCAGGGACTTGAGAGATGGAGACCGCGAGAAGGACTTGAGATCTGGCGGAGGGAGAAGCCCTCTTTAGGAAGGTTATGAGGCAAGAGTCAGGGTCATGGCGGTCAGAGAAAGAAGAGGAAAAAGTGTTGTTTTAAAGGTCTCAACCAAGATGCCTTATCCAGAGGACGCCATGAGACAGAGGACCGGCCTTATGGAGAGGGTAGCTTCTGAAGATGCCCCGAGGATTCAGGGCGGCGGGTCAGCCGCCGCACACGCCGCTTCCTCAGCGGAGGACGCCCAGAGGAACCGCCCCGCCCCCACAACGTCGCCGGCGGCTCCTGGCCACTCGGCCCGGCCGGGGGCCCCGCCGCTGATTGGCTGCGCCGCCGGGCGGAAGTGATGCTGCTGTCACCGGCTTCTCGGGCTCCCGCGGAGCCGCGAGTTTCCGCAGGGGGCGGCGGCGGCGGCTGCCGGGCCGGTGAGTTGGGAACTCGGTGGGGGCGGGGCATTGGAAGTCCGGGTGCTCTAGAACTGGGGGGCGCGGGGGCGTGGGGGGGTGTGCAGCCGCTGTCTGAGGGTGAGTGAGCTGCCAGAGGCTGCCTTCATTCCCCGCGTGCGCGAGCCCAGCGAGAAGGGGCCACGGCGTCCAGGATTCCAAGATCGTGCGAGTCCTCTGAGGAGAGGGGGGCCCTTTGCACCGGGCATTGGAGGCCAGCGATCGATGAAACTGGCCTCTGGCAGGCAGCCTGATCTCTAGGAACGGGTTGTAGTGGTTCCCAAGAGGAAGAGAAGGAGGACAGCCTCTTGGGAACAGGAACCTTGGACTCGGGCTGCCCTCCTTGGCACATAAGAGCTGTAGAGACACGCCTAGTTAGTTGGGGCGAAGTTGAGATCCGCTTTCAGAGGATATCTAAGGTTCCTTTCCCAGAAGCCGAGGGTGGAGGTGAGGTGCTGGGTAAAGTCCTACCTTGCCAGAAGGACTGGAGGATGTGGTGGTCAGGTATCTCCTGTCTTCCGGAAACCTGTGGGCTCCACTGAGACGGAAGGAGCCTTGCCCAGTTGGGTCGCTGTCAAGTTATCTCACAAGAATTTGGTTTTGCTTCACTAATGCCTGCAGACTGGGAAGGACACCTGAATGTCTTGGGACAGTGAAGGCTGCCGGAGAGCAGCGGGGTATTTTCCTGGGAACCTAAGAGAGAAAGAGATACATGGATCTGGTGAGGGAAATGTTAGGTGGCGGAAATGTTAGGTCTCTCCTTTCCAAAGAGACTTGTGTACAATACCCATATTTTCAGACTGATCCACTTGAGTATGTGTGGGGGTACTAAGCCCTGCCTCAAGGTGACCCCCACCCCAGCCTACTAGACAGCAGATGCTTCTGAAGGAACTCAGCCACCAATAGGGACACACTTGTTCCACTGCCCATTCGCCTGCCCCTGTCCCTACATTTGCCCACTGATTTGGCCCTTCTGTCAAGCCATGGGTGGTGGTCACAGGTTTAGAACACTTCACAACTTGCTGAGCTAGTGACTAAGGGAAGCCCTGTAGTGGTGCTTTCCAATCCCCACCCCACCCACTTGCCTCTTATTCCTGTTCAGTTTTGTTTGTATTCTGGGCTTTTCCCCATTTCCGTACCCCCCCCCACCTCCTCCTACTCTTACTTCCCCTGGCATCCTTCACAGGTACAGAAACCAGGAAGTGAGCTACGACCCAGACTTCTAAGAAGCAGTACTACCTACTTTTTTGTTCTTTTTATTATTATTATTATTTATTTATCTATTATTTATCTTGGCTGCACTGGGTCTTAGTTATGGCATGCCGGATCTTTAGTTGCTGCTTGTGGAATCTAGTTCCCTGACTAGGGATCGAACCCAGGCCCCCTGCATTGGGAGCGCAGAGTCATAGCCAGTGGACCACCAGGGAAGTCCCCTATCTACTTTTTCAAGAGGAGTTTTGGGTAAGAGTTCAAGCTCTCTTCTAGGCATCTAGGAAAAGAAGAGAAGAGGATGGCCTGATGTTTAGGATGAGAAGTAGGGTTTCTGGGTTTTGTACCCATCTGGCCTTACTGTACCACTTTGGTTCCAGTCTGTGACCTATTTGAGATTCCTGCAGGTGATCGCTGGCAGTTTCTTTGGTCACAGATCCAAGGTTCCTGGCTAGCCTCTACCTGCTCCACTGGGTTTGGGAGGACACCATTTCTTGTTTTCTTGGGGCCTACAGGTCTGCGGTCTGTGCTGAGAGTCACCGCTACTCACAGCAGAAGGAATGCCTTTTCTCCATTTGCACAAAATGAGCGTGAGGTGGTTAACCAGACCAGGAGCTCAGCCTCACTCTGAGTCCAGGTGGGAACGGGGCCCCACTGCAGGAAGTTAGCCCTCAAGACCACGGATGGGTCTGAGAAGTCAGTTGGGGGAAGATTTCTGTCCCCTCTAAAGAAGGGAGGAAGGTCTCTTCTAAAGAAAAATGGAGCTGCCAGGAATTGGCAGGAGTGATACAACTTCTGAGCTCAAGATGGCAACAGTGGGGAAGAGCAGTGTGGTGCCTTTTAGCAGCTGGACCTCCTGCTTGATTGTCTTGTGATAATCATGTCATGGAAGGACCCACTAGGCTTAGTGCTGGCTCCCACTCCCCCCAGGGGCTTATCCCTGTTGGTCAGAGATCAATGTGAATCAAAAGAGAGGATCACACGTTTAATGATTTAAAAAGCATGGGTTAGGAGTCTCCGGGTGTGATACATTGGTGTTCAGTTGCCCCCTGAGATTCCTGCCATTATCAGCTCTCTTACCTCTGATGTCCTTCTCTTTGTCCGCAGCCTACTGCTCTGATGCCGAAAGGGAGGCAGAGAGGGCCACACTCAGATGCCCCCCTGGGCCTGCCCACAGGCCTCTGGCTGGAGTTAGCTGGGCTCTTCCTACTGCTTCCCTGGGTTATGGGCCTGGTGGGGGCAGGTGGGCTCAGGACCCAGGGCCCAGGGGGGCTAAGCTGGGCAGTGTGTCTGGACGGTCCGGAAGGCAAGGGGGCAGAGGAGTCATTGGAGCGGCGGGCAGAGGCTCTGGCCCAGGCGACGGGGCTGATGAACGCGGGGCGCATCGGGGAGCTTCAGGGGCACTACCTCTTGGTCCAGCCGGTGGGGCGTCGCCAGGCCCGGCAGGCCGAGGTCATCCGGCAGCAGGTGGAAGCCGTGCTGGCTGGGCACGAGGCTGTGCGCTGGCACGCAGAGCAGAGACTGCTCAAGCGGACCAAGCGCAGCGTCCACTTCAACGACCCCAAGTACCCGCAGCAGTGGCACCTGGTGAGTCCAGC